ACAGAATAACACAGATTTAGTAGTTGAATACCTTGATGTAAATGTATTACAATTCATGCCCTCCACCTCCTCCTCTCTGCTACCCCCTCCCTTCCCTCTCTCCTCTTCCCCTTCTCTCCCTTCCTCCTCCCTCCCCCAACCCCCTCCTCTCCCCCCCTCCTCTCTCTCTCACCCCGCCTTTTCTCCCCCTCCGATTTAGCAGTGGTGGGCAATCCATTTGTTTTGTGGCGGACACGCCCCTGGTCCTGGTCCTGCCCCTGTAGTCCCTTAAGCCAAGTGAAAGTGCGGGACCAGTCTTACCTGTAGTGAACCGGACCTCCCTGGACACCAGGCGAATGTCCACGATGGAGAACTGGGGCAGCTCCAGCTTGTCCACTCCAGTCACAGCGCTCTCCCCTCCCTGCCAGAAGAAGACGATGTCGTCCGTGGTGTAGCCGTCTGGAAGAAAGATAGAGAAATACACCAGAATGGGTTTAAATTAACAACGACTATGGTCATGCATTCCCACTGCCTACTAAAGCGGATAGTTGTTTTCAGATTTCGCCCATCTGGTCGAGGACATGCACTAGCTGTGTCAGGCAGACACTCAAACTAAGAAGTATCAAGTGTGCGGATGGACTTTGTGAGATGAAAACGGGGAGGGTTTTGACGTCAACACCGCAAAGGCAGACAGACTGTCGGTGCAGCCGGATTAAGTGTTGCATGGCCGTGTGGTCCCGCTCTCACCAGGACCCTGTTGAGACCGAGACCACATGGCCATGCAACACTTTACTGCTCTGAAAACATTGCATTTTCAATTAGTGATTCCAAAAAGACAAAACTGTAACAGTAGTCTACCAACTTTACAAGTCTGCCAAAAAATGGGCGGGCGGTGGGGGTAGGGGGGGGGGGGCGGGGGTGAGAAGTGGTCAGAGGGGTCAAACGGAAAGCTGGCAGGGTGTTGTGTGTTTATGTGTGCTTGTCGAAATTCAGGCTCACGCTGATTACAGCGCCAACGTTTAGCGAACTGTTGCAAAGAGGTGACGATGTCCGGACCATGAAATGAGGAAAAAAATGACAAAGGACGGCAGGCTGAGAATAGCGCGGCGCCGCTTCTGTTTTGCTGGCGTTCAGGTGATGTGAGGCGTGTTTTGTCCGGGCCTTTATCTCCCGAGCGCAGACGGCAGAAGGCGCGCGGCGGCGTGTCGTAGTCTTCATGTACAGCATGGTGTCATCAGCGTAGAAACGAAATGAAAGCCCATTACTAATGATGCTTTGGCCAAGGCAGGGAGGGCATGCTAAAAGGTAAAGACGTGGGTGTGTGTGCATGTGTGTGTGTGCGTGTGTGCGTGTGTGTGTGTGCATGTGTGTGTGTGTGTGTGTGTGTGTGTGTGTGTGTGTGTGAAACCTTGTAATAGCTCTCAGGGATATGAAATGAATGGAAACCTGAAGGGAAAGATTGGAGTGAAGTGAGTGGCTGGATAGTGGTGGGAGGATGACCATAACCTTGACTCGAAGTCGCCGTGCCTGACATCAGTAAAACGGAGGAGGAGAAGGAGGAGGAGAAGGAGCTGGGCCGGACGCTGGCTGATAAAAGGGTTCACAGCCGGGAACACGGGTGGAGGAGGTGAGGGGACTGGGATTTTTCCCATGTTCCTTAGCGACCACAATACATTAAAATGACTTATAGCATTAACTTATGGCGTGCTTTGAGATATCGGATTTAACTTGATTTCCACGTTATTAAAGGGACAGTTTGCAGATTCAATCGTCTGGGTGGGGGGAAAGAGTTGTTAAATAATGTAGTTTACCTTTCCAATATCATCTGCGTAATGTTATGCTGTTGGTTGGTGCAATTAAGAGTTTTTTTTATCAATTTGGAAAAAAACAACAACAACAACAACAACAACAACAAAACAGTGAGGAAATAATGATCGCGTTAAGCTTAAGGTATTAATCAAGGACATTGTAATATTTTGCTTTGGAGAAGAGTTTTATAGGGCGGGGTGTCTTTGTGGCAGATGGAGAAGGTCTTTGGAGCAGGTCGTTATTCACGGTGCTTCGCTACGCGACGACACGCCCAACCATCTCCCCTTTCGGACGTCACACGAGTGAACCAGAGGGCAGAGCTGGAAAATATGACCTCTCCAAGTCATTAAAGAGGCATGCAGGTCATAAACATAGCTCCGAGTAAGTATTAGCAGCCGCAAATCACACATTAACGTACAGTAGACGCACGGCCTCCGCGCGTATAAACTGAAGTCCTGGCAATGTTTTTCGCCCGAACATTGATGATTCTGTAAATTCCCGTAAACGCGTTAAAATTAATCTGGGCTGCAGGTGAGCGGGAAAGTCAAGGCTGCGGTGAAGAGGTAAAGGCCGCGGTGACGGAGGGTCTTCAGGGGTCGGGTCAGGTCTAATAACAGCGTTACACCTTATATTTTTACTTTTATATTTATATTGCATACTTTTTTAATATCTTATTTTCTATTAAATATCCCGTACAGTTGTATGTACTACGTTTGTATAATGTATATTTAATTTCTTCATTGCACCAACACACCATAACAAATTCCAAATTGCATGTCGTTTTTTAAGACATTTGCTGCAGAGACGAATTCCCGTTAACTTTCCCATTGTTCTTATTATGTTTCATATGGTAATACGCTTGTTCAAACTTCAAACTTCGAACCATAACGCGATCAGAGAGCGCTGGCCCAGGTACCGACTCGTCTCCGCGGTGGTACCGTCCAAAAAGATCCTGCATATTTAATAGACAGAACCAGATGGTCCGTAATTAAATTGATTCATGGGTACTATTGTAATACTGAAATATGCATTCCCTCAGCAGAACTAAAACCCATGAGTGGTGTAAAGTCTTCTAATTCGCTGTATCATATATGCTACAGCATATCCATGTAGTCAGCAATGTAGCGTTGCCAATATGGGAATCAAATAGCATTTTTATTATGAAGCTTTTGAACAATTATAATGAATGCGTGCAGCTTCTCGCAGTGTAAACGGTATTCCTTCAAATCATGTTACGCTTTAATACTTTTCTGTTGACTAATCACAACACTTTCTTTTTAATTATTCGTAAGGATTTCTTAAATCAGAAACGCTAAACAAAAAGCTTAACGAACGGTAATTATACCACAAGGTAAGAAATGTGATTTGTCAAAAGCACTGCCTTGTCATGCTGGTGATCCCAGAGAGCAGCAAAGCATGCTCAGTCGTTGCCATGCCAACGCTCCAGTAACCATGGAGCCAAGTTTTTTTTTCTTTCTTTCTTTTTTTTTACAAAAAAAAAAAAAAAAAGAGAAAAAGTTGCACTTGATATATTCAACAGCAGATGCTTTGCAGCACATGCTAGCGGACATAGCACACGCTATCGATCGCAGAAATGAATTTAGCCCTTATGGGTAATAGGTTAAGCATGATGATGTCGCTCATTAGTGGGCCCACACATTAAACGACTATTTGACCGCCTCCCCCCTACCCTGAAAAAGCCACAAATCATGTTTGACTCTCGGTCAGATTAAATTGAAAGCGTAATCAATACACATTAGCCAGGGCGTTCGATTCCATCTCCATTTGTCGTTGGCGTGCCTCTTGTTAACATGCGTGTGTCTACACACGGGCACAACACACGTCACACACAAGACTAATATGATAAACATCTTTAGGGACCTTTGGATGCTTCAGGTGTTTTTCTTTTTTTATGAATTCGTATTTTGACTCCATTGCACTACCGCATCTTCTTCCACACTTGTTTTTTTCTATATTTCAACCACAGTGCACAGGGTGTAAATATTTCATTCATACATCTAAGCATTCAATTATTTATATTTGTATTACTTGCAAACATTGTTTATACCTATTTACATCTATAGCTGAGCCCAATGCGGCTGTGTATTTTATGTTGTGTTTATTTTTGGTGTGTGTACTTTAATTAAACATTGCTTACATTTTATATTTCATAAAGTTCAGTTGGGTTCATCTCAACCCTAACCCTAAAGTTAACTGATAAATTGAAAAATTAACTGAAAAATAAACCTGAAACTTTAGACTTAAAGTGGCAACTATGGCATTAAGCGGTGCTTGCAGGTGTGTTTTCGGACCTCACTTCCGTTGCTTCCCAGAGATCCCAAAAGTGTCGCCAGTGTGGCAGTTGGACCGGAAAAAACCAGTATGCGCCACTTCACACACAGTAGTGTGTGGCGCTCTCCGGCTGAACGACCGCCGTTGGGCGACGGTAAACGCGCCGCTACCTGTGTGCGCCGCTCGTGAATGTTTTGCGAGAAAGTCGCCACCGACACCCAGTTCGTACCATTCATAATACTGCAAAATGCAAAGGGCTTTCATTAGTGGGCCATAGGCTCAATCCCCATTGTGGCACCTCATTTGGCGATAGACAGTGACTTAACGGACATTTATTTGCATTCAAATCTTCGAGATTGCCACTTTAACTTTGCTACGCCACCAAAGATATGAGCAATAATAGCTTACCCCTCTGATCCATTACCTCAACCAATCCTATTATCTAAAGCCCCACAAAACAAAAAAACACTCATATGTAATGTATGTCAACAACACACGCAAGATAGATGTGGACTCGCCGGTATAAGGGAATGGAACCGTGAACCATGATGTCATGTTTAAGTGGATATGAGTTGAGTGATAAGAGAGAGAGAGAGAGAGAGAGAGAGAGAGAGAGGGGCAGGGAGGGGGAGATAAGGAAGTCGGTCGGCGAGTGGAGCGGCGCGAGATGACGATAGACGGCGTTGCGTTGTTTCTGTTGCTTTGCACTTACAACTTTCAATTTCCAGGGTGCAGTTCTGTTCGTCCAGCGGGTACCGCCTCAGGTCCATCATGCAGGCAGCTGTCGTGGTTATTCTGGAAAGGAAAGGAGAAATAGAGAGAGTTACACAAACAACGCAGGAGATGATAGATGCCATTTTGGCGGACGCCCTCCTTTACCCAGAGCGTCTCGCCGTCCTGTGAGGCGTTCTTAGCATGGGTGGCCGCCAGTGGGGAATTGAACCCCATATCCCTGGCAGTGCGGATGCCTTGCTCTACCAGTTGAGACACACAGGGAATCGAACCCCTCACCCTGGCCGCGTTCACGCCTCGCTCCACCAGTTGAGATAGGGAGGACCAACAATGCGATATACAAGTTTGCAGCTTTATTAAGAAGACGTGTCTGGTTCGGACTGGTTTAGTCTGCTTTGGACCGGTGTAAACCAGAACCAGATCAACATTTGTTCCCCAAACCTTTCCGCCGCCGCCTCATCCTCTTACTTGTGTTTGGCCGGAGGCCTGAACGCCACACAGAAGTGAGTCGTGGATCAATTTACTTTGACCCCCCCCCCCCCCCCCCCCGCCCCACACACACATACACACACACCTGCAAAAAAAAGGAAAGAGCTCTTGAACCTCTTCTCCCAAACACATGCAGACGTGGCGATGCGATAATAAAATACACCGAATGGGTTTGGAGCGAAGCCCAAACGTGTTCCTAAAAGAGTGGAGGCCTCAAGGACATACGACATGTTTCAACCGAACACAGGCGATGCGGCAAAGACACGACGTCGCGCTTTTTGTCCGGATCTGTCCGTGTCTCTTCACACGTGTACGACATACAGTACATGCGGACACGCGTGTGTAGGGACGCGTTAAGAGAGAGAGCGGAGGTCGGTTGTCAGAAAGGGGGCGGGGTCCAATAACGCGCCATAACGGATGGGTCCGAGAAAAGGTAGGAATCCAGTGTGCGAAGGACTGCTTACAATAGCACGAAAACAGGAATGCACGCTGGGTGTATCGTTGCGCATCGTCGCACGCCCTCTTCTCATCCATTACGATCGATTACCAAGTTAAATATAGTTTATTATATCCTGATGCGCTCCCCTTAGGATTGAAACAAGAATGATTTTATTAAGATTAAAAAATATTGCCAGGGAGCAATATGGAAATGTAATTACCTTTCATTCGAATCGATCTCTATGTCACACCTATACAAGATTTTCTAAATTGATTTTAGATTTTTTTTTTCTTCCCCCCCCCCTGCTGCTGACGTACAGAAACACATTTCACCCCGGCAGGTTTATGAATGATGTATGCAGAGCCGCTGTCTCTTACTTCAATAAATCCTGTCGCCGGGCAAGAAAACAGCGGATAATACGAGCAGGGATTCTTCGGTGGCATTTAGCTGAAATATCTCGCATACATATAAATAATGTACCGCCGCCGCAGCACATTGTCACCATTACATATACATGCACACATACACATACGCCGCGCCGTGTTCTCACACGCTGGAAGGTGTGCAGCAAACCATCGTTAGCCCTGGGCTCACCGAGGCCCAGCGTGGATCCGGGAGTTTCGCTACTGGTTCTCAAGTCACACCGAAAAACTCAATATTTACACACGTGTCGTCGTTCGTTTCAACCTTTATTTCATTTCTCTTTTAGAGACGAACATCGAGGGTGGGCCCTCACTGATGATGCCCAGATTACAGCACAGAGAGAGAGAGAGAGAGAGAGAGAGAGAGAAAGAAACGCACATAAACAAAACCAAATGAAGTAAAACAAAGGAAAATAGGTCAAGAACAAAGCAGTCAGTTAAGAGATTTGCAAACTGAATTTGGACGGTTTATAATCAGGTTTCTAAAACGTCCAAAAGGAGAATATAGAGAGGGGAAGAGGAGAAGAGAATATATAAACGGCGTATACGACGCGCGAAACTAATATTTTTGTGTACGTCCAAGCGTGCAGCGGTTAGCAGTGTAGTGTTGTGTCACGTTGCTGTTGTCAAAAACGTTTGTACATGTTGGATAAATGATGCATGTTGCAGCGGCGTGTTCAATGCCCACATGTTTGGTCTGTGAACACGCTAACCACACATTCTGCACACCACCGGCACAAGGCCACCGCTACAGAAGATGTTCCCCGCCCCACTGTGTAATATATGATATGTAGTAATAATATAGTGTATGGACTTATGAGTTATGTGTGTGTTGCAAGCTATAGCTTAAGGGACCGAGGCAGCGCTGTTAAATTAACCATGTCACCGCTGGTGAATGATGCTGTCATTGAATATAATTGGAAAACAAAATATGTTCCCCCTACACACACGCGCACGTGCGCACACACACGCACACACACACACACACACACACACAGCGGAGGAGCAGGTCAGCTGAACACGGGCCGGTGAATCCATCCCAACCAGGCCGGTACGAGGATAATGGTTTCATAGCTGAAAGGTCCTGGGTTCAAACCCCAATGTCCGCCATCTACCCTGTAGTTATCCTTCAGCAACGACGTCTAACCCCCAACCTGCTCCTTAATGGCATGGATCTGAATTCACCGCAAGGCGCTTTGGATGAAAGTGTTCATAGTACTACTATGACAGTACTAGGAAGGTACTAGGAAGGTAATACGGTACTAGGATAAAAAAGAAGAAGAAGAAGAAGAAGAAGAAGAAGAAGAAGAAGAAGAAGAAGAAGAAGAAGAAGAAGAAGAAGAAGAGAAACTGCATAGAAAAATGTCCCCGCATGGTTATTTTATTCCCTCCATTGATGCAGAGTTGCTTTCTGCAGCAGTAGCGCATCGCTGCATTCAGCGGGGCTGTATTGTCCTCGCTATCTTCCAAGTGTTCCTCTCTATTGAGGGCCCAGGAACTATTGATATGTCGGCATCGCATTAACTATCTGAGCGGCGAATCCCAACTGAATTACCGGAGGAGTTGTTTCAAAAATGCACTCTCAGGCGTTTGCGGACCAAACTGCATTTACGGGGGCCGTGTTTATTTTTTAAATAAAAGACCTATAGAGAAGACATATGGCACAAACGTGCCATAAAAATGTGCACACGCCGTACGCCCCTCCTGCAGAACTGCAAAGGAAGCGGTATTCTGAATAAAAAGTACAAAGTCAGGGGCTCTGTGCACAAGTGATGAAATTAAAGTGAAGGAGTCTATTATCGGGCATTTCTATAGATGCTGTGTTTTAAAGTGATGTTAACGCTACTGTCAGCAAAACGGCACAACAACAGATTCAATTTGGAGCGCGGCGACGGTATATAACTATGAACACATGCTACCTATTATTCTAATGACAGGCGCGCAGTTATGTTAACACTGAGCTAAAGGTGTGAAAGCACACACACACACACACACCTATACACACACAAGCACACACACACACCTACACACACACGGGCACACACACACACACACACACACCTACACACGCGGGCACATACACACACACCTACACACGTGTGCGTGCACACACACACACACACACACACACACACACACACACACACATACACGCACACACACACACACTGGAAACAAAATCGTGAATATACTCAGCAACTATTTAATCGGGTTGCCAGATTAGTTCGTTTGTAGACTTTTAACTTTTCTAACGGGTCTTCTTCGAAATTAAGGAAGGAGTGTGAGAGTGTGAACTTTGTAACTAATGCAAGGCACTATGCACTAGAGGAACACGCCTCCCGGTAATTAATAAACAGTAATAGTTATATATAAAGGCATTCACTCATCCATCGCTCCAGCATCATTGCAGCAAAATCATGTATGTGGTGGCAATACCTCAAAATCTCAACTCCAGTGTGCTGTTGAGATCTGTCATGAGCTCACTATCATCACCTGTCAGGATGCGCTTCTCATCTCTCTCAGAAGCACACGCGCCGTGTATACAAGGGGTGTGTCCCCAGGGACAGACGTACAGATACAGAGAGACGTGCGCACGGGATCAAAAGTGTGCACGTCACGAGGGCTCGGCTTGCGGACCGGATAACTGCCGGCGGCAGCGTGTACCGGGTCAGCAGAACTGGGGTCGGTCTAGTGGCGGTCTAGGGACAGTCTGGAGGCTATCTAGAGACGGTCTAGAGGCTGTCTAGAGGTGGTCTGGAGGCTGTCTAAAGATGGTGTAAAGATGGTCTAGAGGTGGTCTAGAGACTGGTCTGGTCTAGGTACACTCTACGCAGGCTAAACGCAGGCTAGAGGTGGTCTAGAGACGGTCTCGAGGCGCTAACCCTTGACCAAGCACGGTGGTCAATCAGACAGCCCTCTGTACACTCTGCAGATACTTGGCCAAGCTGCCCATCGATTTGCAGGTCCATCAGCGATCCATCTGAGTCTATTTAGCGGAGCTGGGATTCAGCGCATCACCTGCCTTCCAACGACGAGGATCTGCTGCTCGGTGCAATTTGCTTGCTGACCAAGTGCAGTGCATCACATATTTGCTAATGTAGCGTGGAAATGGTCTGTGTAGGTGAAGATGTGTAGGGGTGCTACTGCGCGTCTGTCTGACACTAACCATGGACAAGATAAACACTAAAGGCACCTCCTCCCTGTTATTGTAATTGGCCTTTCATTCACTTGTATGGTAGCTCACAGCTCTTTTGTAGAAATGCTAAAAACGTGTCATTTGATATAATATGAATATACAGAATATAGAAATGTAATATCCTCTTTTATTATAAATTAAGAGTTGGATAGTCTAGCGGTGAGAGTATTTGCCTCCCAGCAATGTCTGCAGCCTACCAGTAGGCATGCGTGAGCAAGTTGCCCCCTAACCCCTACCTGCTCATTAATGACATGGATCTGGATCTCGCTTTGGAAAGAAGCGTCTACTAATGATTAAAAAGTAAGTAAAGTGAGATAACTGGTAAATGTGCCGTTCTCAAGGGTAAATGCTTGTTGTACATTCACATGGATGTATATCATATGAAATATAATAATAAATGCTCAAATACATGTAATCAAATCTGCAGTAACACAAGCTTCCGATCTCTGCCGTCGGAGGGCCTCGTCCGAGCAGCTCCATGCGGCATGCGTCGTCGTAGCTCACAGCAAACCCTCGGACAACAACGAGATGAAAAGCTAAGGCTAAACTTGTGTGAACCACCACCGCCACCGCCACGACGGTGTGGAGGCGGATCTCCGGTCGTAAGCGGCCAGCTCAGCGCTGCAGCAGACTGGGAAGCCCGTTGGCCGCGTGTTATTATGAACGCCTACGCACCACGCCGCCGGTCCCCCGAGCGCCGCCTTGTGGGAGG